TTTAATAGGGAGTTGTTCTTACCATTAGAAAGCACATGTAATTCTGTCAGTGTTACAATTTTCTCTAGTGTTTCATAGATACTGAAAACTATAGTTAACGTAGAATGGACAGAACTACTATAAACTGTTAGTCACTAGGGTTCTTAAGCGATAAAATAAAGGTAATAGAACTGATGGAATTTAATATTTCCATGCAGTTACACAGTAAGAAGTTGTCATTTATATATAGTATTAAATGTTTCAGTTTTGTATCTCTTCACTTGCCAAGCTTATCTTAGCTTCAGTGAATTATTATTTGTATGACAGACTGTTTTAATTTTTATTTGTTCTGAAGTATGGCTTTTCTTTACTCTTGTTCTGTAGTTCCTCCAAGTATTGCTGGTGACCTGCAGATGCCTGAAAACATCAGCACTGTGGAGAAGAATCCCGTCTCTCTGATTTGTGAAGCTTCAGGAATTCCCTTGCCATCAATAACATGGCTCAAGAATGGATGGCCTGTCACTCTGAACAACTCCGTGAGAATCCTCTCAGGTACAAAAGCTGTAGTTATTTAAAAAACAAACAACCAAACAAAAAACCCAAACAAACAAAAAAACACCACAAAAATCAGGAAGTGGGTGAAGGGCACTCTGCGTCTACAGTGCAGATATTTCACATGGGAGAAGGCTAGGGTGATAACCTGTGAAGACAAGGAGAGAAGAGAAGCTGTTATTCGATGCCAAGCTTTTCAGGAAATGGGGTCAGTTTGGCTGGAGTGCCTGGTGAATCTCTACCGTAAACTTTTAAAGTTGTTACCAACCTTTATGTGGATGGGCCAAAGGCATGGTAACTATTTGGTCTGTGACATGGAGTAAGCCATAATTTTAGTGTATGTTAGTCCAACGCTTATTTCCAGAAATATGTCAGATGGTAACATCTTGCTTTGTCAGTGCCAATATGAATACTGCATTAGCTCTCGTTTGATTTGTTCTCTCTACCTCTTCCTCTTGGCAGTTATTTTACCCTTTAAAGACCAAAAAATCTTTGAGAGAAAACAGTATTTATGCCAAGGAATAAAACACCTCTTTTGTTTCTGTGGGTTTGTATATAAAAACAAAGGGAAACCTGTTCATGAGCCTCAGAGCATGTAAATACTTCCTGGCCTTGGAGCAGGCTGAATCTGATCTTCAGAATGGCATCTAATAAAAGCTGGAATTAGGTGATCGGTCAAAGACCACACAGAATGCTGCAATAGCAAGAAGACTAGTCCAAGGGATCTGGAGAAACCTATGATAGGCAAGCAGAGAAACAGATCCGATTCATAAGGCGCCTCGATTTTCAAGCTGGAATAACCTGCAAAGAACTAGGTCAGATGTCTTTTTATGACAGTAGTAATTGACAGCGGTGTCCAAAACAGGAGGGGCTGAGTACTGAGTCCAGTACCTAAAGGGGGCCTACAGGAGGGATGGGGAAACACTCTTTATCAGGGAGTGTAGAGACAGGACAAGGGGTAATGATTATAAGCTGAAAGAGGGGAGATTTAGATGAGATATTAGGAAGAAGTTTTTCCCTGTGCAGGTGGTGAGGCAGTGGCCCAGGCTGCCCAGAGAAGCTGTGGATGCCCCATCCCTGGAGGGGTTCAAGGCCAGGCTGGATGAGGCTTTGGGCAGCCTGGGCTGGTGGGAGGTGTCCCTGCCCATGGCAGAGGGTGGCACTGGATGAGCTTTAAGGACCTTTCCAACCCAAACCATTCTGTGATTCTGTGATACTGTTCCTGTAAACCATCTTCCTGCAATACCCCAGGGAAGTGAAAGTACTTGACTGGCAGCTGCAGTGATGTTAAAGCTTTATGTCTACAACAGGAAACTGAGTTAGCAGCCCTGGAGATTACAAATGGAAAAGGTGTACCAAGCAGGCAGTAGGTTTTATGTTGACTTCCTGTGTCTGGGGATCATCTTTGTGGAGTGTGTAGAATTAAGTATCTGGTTATGACTGAGATGTATAGAGGACAACTGAGATGTTTCTTTGCTCTTGGGTTTGCTACTCACAGCTAGAAATCTCATGAAAATAAGTTTTGATGAAGTTTCTAATGCTCTGACATAGCCACGATGCAAAGCCAAGGCATCCTACAGCATGAACACAAGAAAACTTATCAGACAGGTAAAGAAACTGGAAGGTGTTTAGCAGCTCAGCTAAGACTGAATTTGAAGCTGGAATTTTTCAGGATTTCTCTCATTCTTGTAGCTTTTAACATTACAGGTAGTCCTATTTTCCCATTTTTATGTATGGTGCATGGAAAAAGGAGTGGGTGTCTGATTATTATCTGGTATAAATCCGACTGAGTTGGTGTGCATTCCTTTTTGTGTGAAGTTGCCATCAACAAAAATAATTTCTTCTCGGCTTGGTTGTTGTTTCTGTTTTGTCTGTTGATTTCAACACCCACACTAATATCACCATCCGGATTGCAGAGTCGGGGAGGGTGAAAGACAAAAAGATGTTTATTGTCTCTGAATGTTAGCTGCAGTGGGAGTGGGGAATCAGGCCAGAAGTCAGGGCTTTGTTTTCCAGTAAACTTTGTGCTTTTGTGCAGTTCTTTAGAAAACTCCACATTGTGGTTGTGAACTGTAACCAACATGGCATTTGGAACTTTGTTTGTGCTTGTACAGCTGTAAAAAAACCAAAACCAACAACAACAAATCCCCCTCTTCAACTAATGTAAGGGGTAAAATACTTTGCCAAAGCAAGATTTTGTTTCTGTTGATTGAAAACATACTTGGCATGGCAGACGATTTAAATGTGTGGACACACTGCTGGCAGCTTTGTATCTGTTAATTCAGACCCTTCGCTGGTGTTTCCTTTTAATGATGCTTCCTACATCCTTTAGAAAAAAAAAAGAAAAAAACTGCAGCATACCACATGTGCTTTTCTTGCAGACATGCACTAAGCTGCATACTAGCTTTAGCTAAATGTACAAAATCGTATCCTGCTTCAGCACTGGAGTCCTGGGTGTGCGAGTATGTGATACCGTGGAAAGCTGCAGTCTCCTGCAGGCAGATATCTGCTTCATTTGGCTTCTCGTATGGCTTGGTTCAGGATGTGGATGGGAGAAAGAATCAGGGTGACATGAGGAGGCTGCAAGAACTGAGCCTGTGGCTATCCGCAGGCAGGACATGCACAGGTCAGACGTGATGTACTGTGAGGTAACGATCGCTGATGTGAGAGCTGCTAATGAGAAGCTGGAAGAGGCTGAAGGATGGCCACCACGGTTGTTTTCACACTTAAATGCTCACTGATGTTTTGCTGTTTCTCTGCCAAAAAGGAAGCAAGAGAAATTATTCTGCTAGGGCAAAGCGGGGATATTCTTGGTCTTTTGGTGAAACATATTTTCAAATCTTCTTCCTTTTAAACTAGCATGCCTGTGCACATGTGTTCTGACAACTGCTCTGCTGTTGTGTTAAGAGAAATCTGTTATTTGAAAACATTCCGGGTAAACCAGTACTGTTGTCACTGTTACTGTTATTAATGGCACAATTAATACAAATACTAGAAGGAAGGAGAGGAGCTGTATTCCTTATCTGTACATGTGAAAATACCCTTATGGAGTGTTTGTATGTTTTTTTTAAGATTAAACTTATTTTTATGTGTACACCCCCCCCATGAGGCTTTTTTATTTTTCCTGTATAATCATCTCGATTCTCAGTATAGCAAAGTACTTATGTGAACAAAAATCCTGCTGTCTGAGACACCGTATTCTGTCAAAATTTCCCACATAGAGGTACACACACAAATCCTTCATATTGCAAACCCAGTGTTCCTGCCACATCCACAGGGTCTGCGCTGTACCCCTGCGTGTGGTTTGAGTGACCTGTGTGGAGCAGGTTCGATTTTCTCTGCCTGAACTCAACAGACGTGTCTCAAAGCTTTCAGTGATTATTCCAGGTGGTTTCTGACTTCCTTCAGAAATTCTCAGAAAACGTCTGAATGCCTCAGAGTTCACTTCAATGTAATTTCTCAAAGAAATAAAAGGGATCTGTCGGGTAGTTTGGAAGTTAGTGACTAGAAAGAATAGTGTGATCAATCCTCCTAAAAGCACAGACGAGCTGAGGGCCTGAGCAGACAAACAGAAATGATGGGAGAAGGAGTCCGGTCAGTCACTTTCTCTTGCTGTTTGTTCAACAAAACAAAGCACATTTAAAACCAGACCACATCAAAAGAAATTACAGCTGTAAACTTAACCAAAACATTAAGAAATGAAGAGTTAGCACTGACGATTTGGGAGCATATTGGTTGGAGCAGGGCTTAGTGATTGTGTTTGTTGGCTTTCTCTGCAGGGGGCAGGATGCTCCGTTTGGCACACGTGAGTGTAGCAGACGAAGGTCGGTATACCTGCATAGTGACCAATGCTGCAGGAGAAGTGAGGAAGGATTTTGACCTTTCTGTTCTAGGTAAGTATGTGATAATTTTTGTTACAGTAGAAGAAGATAAAGGGGTCTACTTTATACTTTCCAGGTATTTTAAAAATTATTCTGCAAAAACATACCTCCTTAGGCGGAAAAAGAAGGTTTTAAAGAGAAGTTACTTCTACATAGGAATTTGCTGTTTGTTTAGTTTTTAAAATTAAGATTCTTCAGACATAATTTCGGATAATTGGCAGCTACTTCTGTTGTGTGGTTTGTTTGGTTTTTGCTCTAAAAGGAACTATGTCAATATGACTGGCTTCAGTTGCGTTGTTATTTCAGTTGGATGGAAGTCTGGGGGATGCTGACAGCATGACTCCCATCCTCTCTTCAGTTTCTTGTTGCTCATAGCTTCACTCTCCCTTGGGCGTGACCAACAAGGTGAATCAGTTTATAGGTCATCTGGAAAGGTGGACTTCTTGTGTTTTCCTGGTCAGGTTGGTTTTCAGCCAGATCAGTTCCCTGCTGGCTCACCACACAGCCTATAAATGCTGGTATTGGCAAAAGGAGGGTGAGAAGAGTGAGTGGCCAGGGGAACTGTGCTATTTCTTGTGGTACCATCCGGAATTTAAGCTGGTTTAAGTCAAAAGAAAACTATGGCCCTAGGAAACCATATGAAATCCCTGTGGATGAATCTGTTGCATCTAATGCTCAGCTGCAGAATGGTGCAACCCCATAGGGTAATGCTCATGAATTAAAGCACCATCATTGTGCAGCAGTGGGTGTAAGATGCATACCTGAGTGTTGTGATGGTAATAATCTATTGCAACAAAGATGTGAAGGCAAAGCCAAGAGCAACAGGCAAATTAAACACTGGAGCTGGAATTGTTTTTGCAAAATAGAGATCTCTGATTCAGTGGAAATGTTTAGTCAGTAAAGTGTTTGGTATTGTAAAGCGTATGAACCAAGTGTGGTAGTGGGTGATCCTGCTTGCCTACTTACACAAGGACTAGTAGAGCAGGCTCTTTAGATGGCTAGTTGGAACCCTTAATATGTAATTTTGTCACAGTACTTATTTTTAAAAATTTGGTATTTTTCCCAGAAAATACTGCTTTTTGGTTTAATAACTATTTGTTATTTTTATCAATAATTACTAGGCCTGATGCAGGTTGTCTTTTACAGCATTACTGTATATAATTTTCCAGTAAGTTTCTTCTCTCTAAGGTGCTGAATGCTATCAGCTTCCCTTGCCTTCAGCTGACTTATGCATATTCAGCCTGGAAGTGATAACACACATTCATGTCAGTTCATGTTTATTGGATGAGCTCATGGATGTGTAAGTCTGGTAGAATGGAAGAGATGGATAAACACTGAAAAGCACTCATTGTTTTACTGTTTTCTTTGGAGGGTTTGAGTAGCAGGGTGTTCATGAGGGTTCTGGAAATCTCTCTTGCACAGGCTTTGTTTCCCTTGAAGAAGAATGCTCAGTGAAGCTCGTTTCAAGTGGGCTAAGTGGAAAATTCCATTGTTCAGGCTTCTTTTCCCTCCCCCCAGTAATTTCTTTGTCTTTCTAGAGGAAAGTTACTGGAATGTGGCCTGATAGCGACACAGAATATTCATCGCCTCACTGTAAATAGACACTGTACAGAGACATCCCAGTGTTTCTCTAAATTGGTGTAGGAGGCGCAACAGGCAAGCTGGTTTGCATGGAGAGCTTGGTGTAATAAGCATAATATTTATATATTTGCAAAATGTTTGGTGTGGCTTTGTCATATTCTGAAATTAATATGTGTTGACATCTTCCTGTATTATTTTGGGGCCAAAGTGATGAGTTGCTCTGTTTGTTTATGAATAGTAACTTTTGGCCTTACTTAAAAGTCCTGAACTTTACGATTTTAGGTTATATTTTCCCCCATCTAATTCCTTCACTGGTTGATGCATCTTTGTCTCGTCACATTTGGACACGAGAGCCCATACAAAAGTCTGTTTTGCATTGCTCGTGCAGTCACAGCAGGGAGTTTGATCATAACTGCATCACAAGTTGGTGAGAGCGCCAGTACTGGCCACATCATCCTGCATGCTGAATTCTGCTAACCCACATCTCACCATGGGTCCTGTTCAGAGGCCAACTTTTAGCCATGCTGAAGTAGCATCTTTGCTATTCCTGTCGAGCAAGATGCAAACCTCGCTACTTTTTTTTTTTTTTTTTTTGTTCTTCACTCTCGTTTCTACCCTTCGCTAGTATCAAAAATCTGGTGTAACTTTATTTTTCTCTGTTGACAATTAATTCTGTGTATTACAGTGATTCTGATTTTTATAAAACTTTTGGTTCCAACTTAGTGGTAAATCACAAATAAGCCTCTGAATATATATTTTACTTCCTCTCTCTTTGGGCCTTCTGTCTAGGCTGAAAGCTTGCATTTTGTAGGCTTATTAAAGTGTAGTACCTGGCTCTCTAGTCTGGCATTTTTGTTACAAAACTTTCAAAATCTCTTGGAGATTTTGGGCTTGCTTTCTTATAACTGTAGGCCTCCTTTTCAGCCTGCTATACTCCATGCCTACTTTGTTTTGTAGTACCATTTTCTTTATGCCTGAATCTACAAATGCCTCTACTTTCAAAGAAATAGTTGATCAGAGCTCTTCACCACCACAGCTACTCCCCAACACATTCATACTCTGGCGACCCTCATCCAATATCCAGTAGTCTGTGTAGTCCTGCTGCCCAAGATCATTTGGAAGCATGTCATCAAGTGGTCAGCCACGCAATCAGTTTCTTTGTATTGAGTTAGCTATTTGGGGTGTGGATAGGTATTTTAAGGGTATGGTTTTGTCTTCTGTTTCTCTAGAGAAACATAGTTGGTACCACAGCAAGATACCTTTAGACCTGCCAGGTTGTTCATCTGCCTGTATGGAATTAGCTGTATTTGCATAAAGGTACCACAGCAAGATACCTTTAGACCTGCGTAGTTTGTTCATCTGCCTGTATTATGCTGTATTTGCATAAAACACATGTATGGCTTTACACAGCACCCACTTGTTGGTAATCTATTGTATTGCTTTAGAGCATGCTGATAAGGAAAAAACCCACATGGTATGTGAACAGACAAGCCAAC